TTGGGCTAAGATTGAGATTCACATGCAGAGCTTTTTGAAGACAGTGCATGCCACTGGGCATTCCAGCAAATTGATAAATTCCTGTTTCTGTCCCACTTTATCCAAAGCAGGTTCTTATACAGTAACCAGCTCATATGATCCATCTTGTTTTGATTACACCCAGGCTGTAATTTATAGAGGTAAGTGAGTGATGACAGGAGGAGGTCAGTGCTTTTGAGAAAAATTTTGTTACTTATAGTTCTCAAGGAAAAGGTATGTCCCATACCATGCAGAACCACATGAGGAAGCATGAGGGTTGCTCAGAAGGCAGATGGAGCAGAGGAGAAATGATGGCCTGGAACCTTTATAGTGACTCCTTGGAAAGGGATGGACAATACAGGGTAGGGGTTTGAGCAAGTTTAGGATTGGTTGGATTGAATAACTTGGGCAGACTCTGGATTACAGGATGGTCTCTAATTGTCCAGTTCCTGGCGCTGGCATGATTAGGGAAATACTGATTTGGGGTGTGAGAGTTGATAGTAGAGGAGATTAGGGATATGGGCCTTGGACTTGTTGGTTTGCATATGAAAGGTGGACTCATGGGAGTCATTTAATCTCTAAGAATTAGCTAGCTCTGGGAGGGGCAGCCAGTAAGGCCCCCAGGATGTCAAAGCATCATAAAATATAGAACATATTAAAAAATGATTAATATACCATCCATTAACAAATGAAAAGTGCAGCATTGTGCTTATACTAAGAAGCTTTGTATGGTAATATGCAGGTTCCACTAAGGGAAGAAGAAGCAAAAGTGGATATAACTTAATAAATTATTATAAGTACTGACATCTCTCCTTTTTTCTGTATTGCTTCCATGTGCACAGATTGAGGGTGAGTAACTGGACATACATATATATATATATACACACACACGTATCTAAACATATATATATATATTTTTTTTTTTTTCCTTCATTTGTTATAGCTGACTCTGCCCCACTGGCCTTGGCCAGTTCGGACCACAGTAGGTCAACATAGGTGCAGAGTGATCTGTGGAAGTTTAGTTCCAGACACAGATGCTCTCTGAAGCCAAGGTTGAGGGGAGGAATGTGACTATAATTTCTTTGCTCTTGCAATCTGAGCAGCAGAGACAGTGTCACAGCTAACCAGCATTAAAGGCTTTTTTCTATTTTGCAGTATCTCATTTAATCTTCAGAACAGCCTCCTGAAGTTAGTTCCATTTTATTGAGGAAGAAATTGAGCCCTGGAGAGGTGTAAGACCTTGCTCGAGATCATACGATGTAAATAAGACTGTATTTGAACCCAGTTAGACTGAGTACAGAGTTTATGATCTTAGCTCCTGATTTAGCTCAGTTGTCCTTTTTTCTAGTATTTGTATTCTTAAAACTTCATCAGAACTCAAATAATTCATCTTACTTTTTTACCTTACTTCATATGACCTAAGTCTTAGTATTCTCAATGTGGAATATTTAAATTTTTCAGATATTAAGTAGAAGGAAGACTTATCCCTTCTTTTCTGGTTTAATTTTCCACAATGCAGGTACCTCGTCCTTCTTGCCACCCAGATGGTAATGTTACTATCTCATTTTCCTTTTCCTCCTGTACCTCAATACTTCCTCACCCCTTTCCAGAAATAAATGCAAGGTCCTTGTTGGAACACTGTTCTTCTGTGTGTCCATAGTCCTTCTGTATCTGCCCCTTTTCCTTCCAGAATGTTGCCTGACTGACTCATGTGCACTCCACTCCAAACAAATCAGTCCAAATAGCCTGTGGAGGTATTTTCACGTACGATGTGACATCAAGTGCTTGAAATCTAAGAGCACTGTTATTAACAGATCACAAAAATGGTTTTATTGAGGCATTAGGTTGTGTGTTAATCTAACCAATTTTATATTTTATAATAGCTCGGGCAACTTATTTATTCAACTCTCCAGTAGAATCTTAGAAAATGATTGATAAAACTTTCTCTGTTAATGATAGGTTTATTTCCTTTCATGTTTTCAAGAGTGATTCCTGCCTCTTTCTCTCCTTTACCGCCCCCCGCCCATAAGCACACAATATTACCAGACCTCCACATGAGGTTATGAGAAGGACCATCCAAGATCAAACTTTATTTGCTTCCATTTGCATAGGTACAAATGGTTATATTGTGCTGGGTTCACTTAGAAACAGGTTCTAAGCCACGAACTGAAGTGAAAGTGATTTATGAAGAAAATCAGGAAAAAAGTAGTAAGGAAGTGAGGAAAGAAAGATGATAGTGAAGGGGAAAAAACAAACAAGTGTTTTATTTCTATAAAGTCCCTGATTCCACATGATTGGGGTGACTCTGAAGTAGAATTTACCTCAGATTTTGCTCTACCTGGATGCTTTTTCTGTCTCCTTCACTGGTTAGTCGTTGGCTGCAGATGAGGTATCCAAGAGAGCCACGAGCAGGCCTCTGGAGCCCTTCAGGATAAGCCGTCTGTTAACAATGAAGAGCAGGTGTGACTGGGGATTGTTGCGTGGACCTGGTAGAAAGATCTGAGCCCGTCAGGATAGGGCACCAGCAGTGACTGCAAAGGATGCGTCAGCAAACACTCATCTGTGATTTCACCCTTCTTTTACATTCTCAGGATGTGAAAATCAGAGAGAGAAGTAACAGACTTTGCCTGGAGTCTCACACCTGGCTAGTGACAGAGGCAGGCCTGGGACCCACCTGACCTACTACTCCCTAACCAGGGCTCTTTGGCACCAGCTGATAGTGGTCAAGGATGTCATGATAATTAATATTATAGTCATTCATCTGAACCTTTTAAGCATATTTGAAATTTACTTAAAATCTGCTGTATTATTATATGTCATAAATTGCGTTTATTTTCACTATACAGTTTATGAGTTCTGACAAATGAATACCATGTAACCACTGCAGTAATCAAGATACAGAGTATTTCCAGCTCCTCAAAAAGAGCCTTCTTGCTCTATTGTAACAAGTAATTCCCATACTACTGGGCCCAGGCTTTCCATCATTAGGTTAGATTCATATAAATGGAATCATACAGCATGTACTTCTGTGTCCTTCAGCATGTTTGGGATTCACACATGTCATGTGTTAGCCTTTTAAAAAATTTCTGAGTAGCATTTCATTGTATGGATATAACACAATTTGTTGTCTATAATGGGTAGCTTTTGTCTTTTATGAATAAAACTGTTAATGAACATTGTTTCAGGTCTTTTGGCCTGTCCATCTTTTTCAAACCTCTTGGGTAGATTAGTTGTAGAATTGCTGAGTGGTATAGTAATGGCTAAATTGTTTTCCAGCCATTTCACATTCTCAGTAGCAGTGAGTAAGAGCTCCAGCTGCACCCCATTCTCTCCAACACTTGGCATTGCCAGTTTTATTTTATTTTATTTTATTTTTATTTATTTATTTTTTTTGAGTTGGAGTCTCACTCTGTCACCCAGACTGGAGTGCAGTGGCCGCTGCCGGCCACCGCAGGCTCGACCTGCTGGGCTCCGGCAATCCTTCTGCCTCAGCCTTCCAAGTAGCCGGTAATTTTTTGATTTATTGTAGAGATGAGGTCTTGCCTGCCCAGGCAGATCTCGAACCCGTGGGCTCAGGCAATCCACTCACCTCAGGCAATGCTAGTTTTAAAGTTTTGATTATATTAGATAACGTGCGGTGGTATTGCATTTTAGTTTTAACTTGCATTTCCCTGTTGATTAGTGATGTTAAGCCTCTTTTCATTTGCTTACTGACTGGTATATTCTTTTGTGAGTTGCCTGATGAAACATTTTGCAAAATTGTCAATATATGTGTGGGTTTATTTCTGAACTCTATTTAGTTCCAAAATTATCCAGATTATGCTTATTCTATCAACTGTACATTTCCAGATCTGTTTCTTTTCTTTTTTAAAAAACATTTTTTATTTTAAAATTGTGGGCTACAGTTAAGGGTTAGGTCTACAAATATGCATTGTGCACCCTTGTTGATGAGATGTGCCCCCCGTCCCCAGACAGATATCGACTACTGTTAATCCCACCTCCTTCCCCTCCCTGCCCCCCCCCCATGGTTTCCTGCCACTGTCAATCCTTTTCTTATAGTATTACGATAGTTATTCAAGGTCCACTTATGAGTGAGATCCAGGTCTGTTTCTGTTGACTGATTTTTTTTTCCTGCTGATGGGTCGTATTTTTTGTGCTTTTTTCATATGTAGTAATTTTATAGTGGATACTGGACATTATAAGGTTTTGTTGTTGAGTGCTAGATTTTGTTGCTTTCTAAAAAGAATTTTATACTTCTTTGTAACTGACAGTTAAGTTACTTGCTGATCAGCTTGGTCCTTTAGTAGCTTGTTTTTTGTTGTTGTTGTTTTTTGTTTTTTGTAGGGATGAACTTTTTCCTGAAGATGTGTTCTGTGTTGTTGGTTTAGAAGCTTGTTTTAAAGCTTTGTTAGGTTAGGTTCAGAGAAGACTTTACCCTGAGTCTTGTTTAGCTCCATTACTAAGGTGTAACCCTGCTGTGGTCTCCACTGGATTCCCCAGATGTTCACTGTGTCCTCTCTCCTCTGGATGGTCATAACTTGAATCTGGTAAGCTTCGTGTGGGCTTGGGAAATTTGTCTGCTTCTGGAGCCTCAGTTGTTCATTGCCTGGCCTTGTGCATTCTCCCTATACTTGCGCATCTTGGTATTTACCCACAGACTGAATACAGCCCTTAGAGTTTTTATTCTGTAGTCTTTGGGGAGCCAGAGAATTCTGGAAAGGAATGATCTGATTGGCAGCATTTTGTATGCTGGATTTAGAGTGAGAATACATTGTTGATGAGGACCTGAAAAGAGAGGAGGGTGAGAGGATGGGAATGGGGGAAGATAAAACAAAAATGATCAAAATCTAGAGAAGAGATCCTAGCAATGCTAATAAATGACTTAGAGGAATCAAGAATTTAAGCTAGCTACTCCCTAAAGCTTAAATAATCCAGAAAACGAAATTAGATTCTAAAAAGCGCTCTACCTAATATACTTTCAGAAACTACACAGATAGAAGATCCAAGAAAACAATGGAGGGGGGAACAGGAGAAAATGCTCAAGGACTATCTCTCCGTGGCCCAGGATGCACTAAGGACACAAAAGGAGTTGTACCATGTGAAGGAGCAAAGACTGGCCTTGGCCCTAGATGAATATGTACGGTTAAATGATGCCTATAAGGAGAAGTCAAGTTCTCGCACAAGCCGTAAGTACAGCTTGGCTATTCAGACTTTAGAAATGGAGACTGAATTCTGGATAATAGAAGTTCCTTGCATTTCTGTGAAGTTAAATTTTGAGTCCTTTTCTCTCCTAGGCAGGAAGAGTACCTTGAAACCATGAGAGGTGAAGGCACACCACACGTTTCTCAGTAAAGCCCTTCAACCCCATGCCAGATAGCAGTCTTCCCATGAAGGGGTTATGGATACCTTCTGTTTCTGCTCCTCCCTCTGCCGGGTTGCCTTTTATTCATTTATGAGTTACTTTTTATCTTTTCCAACCAGGCAGATAATTTGGCCCTTTTTGCCAGTTAAAAAAACGGAATTATCTTTTGGAGGGTGGGCCTTTTGTAGTACAAGCTTTCCCCACGAGTTAAGTGTTCTAGGAATTCATTAGCGTCAGTGTACTAGCTAGCGTTGCTGTGAGAGGCTGCATTTGGCTTCAGTTCATTTTTATTTTTATGTTGGAGATTCTTTCAACGTGTTTGCCCATTTCATGATGTGTGATTTATGAGCACACCTGCCCACACCATGCTGAGTGTTCAGCAGTTTTTAACCAAAAGCAGCATGATGCCCATGCTCCCCCTTCTCTGTTTACCCAGTCTCGCCCTGAGCAACTTCTTTTTTGTTTCCTCGGATGATAAAAAAGTCCTCAGAGGGAAACATTTTGCCCAGGTGGAACAGGTAAAACAAAAAATGGCAGAAGCACTAAAAGACATCAAAATTAATCAGTTCAAAAACTGTTTTAGGCAGTGGAAAAAGCATGTCAATAGGTATATTGCATCAGATGAAGAGTATCTTGAAAGTGACTGAAAATTAAACATGTAAGAGTAATATACAGTTTTTTATAAATGAATTCTGTTTTTTTGGGAGTCCCCCCATGTACAATATTTTTAGTGAAGAACTGGAACTATTAGCTAGAATGAAGTTTCTGTTGATAACTTGTGTTTATCTACCTCGGCTTGTGTTTATCTAACTCTCCCTTGTCTCACAAATTGATAAATTGGTGCTGGCCTTGTTTAAAGAAGGAGCGATGATGAGCTCAGAAGTTCTGCTTAAATGAGAAGTTCCTGGATAATGCAAGCCCCAATACCATGCATCTGCTATGTGGTCCTCAAAGGACATAGTATGCATAAAATCCAGAAGAAAATTAAGCACTGGGATCTTTATGACATTCCTCTTTACTGAGTTAAAAATAATTGCAGAGATTGAAGATTACTTTTTATATTTCGGTGTCTGATGAATGACAATAAAAGGAATTATTTTAAAAAGCATCTGCAGAAGCACATAAGTCTTGTTGTCTTTAGAGTCAGTAAATTCTAAGTGGAGAACCAGGTATGCAAATTGTAAGTAATTGTTTTTTTCTTTTTCTCTTTCAAAAGTATTCTCAGGATCTTCGTCCAGTACTAAATATGATCCTGATATTTTAAAAGCTGAGATTTCCACTACAAGATTAAGGGTAAGATTTTTGTGTGTGTGGTTGTACATTGACCATATTCATGGACTCTAAAGGCTGTAGAAGGGACTTTAGTGGTCATCTCTCAACTCTATTCGGTGTAGAAATCTCTTCCACTTATTCCTAATGGGTAGTCTTTCTGTTGTATGAAGAAGTTCAATGTTTGAGACCATCTTTATTATTGAGAACAGAGCATGTTCTGTTCTTAGTCATTTTTATTGATAGCAGTTGGAATAGTGAATCAAAATTTAAGTCTTGATTACTTGTTGTTTTGTCCTGCAGAGTTAAACCAAGTTGCTCTTTCATGAGACAACCCAGTATTTAAAGGTGCCCACAACTTGCGTCATCATGTCATTCCTTTTCTAGGTCATACTTTTGTCAAGCCCTTAATTCTTCATGTGGGATTGTTTCCTGATCCTTGGCCTAAATCTTTTTAGCCAAACTTCTTTAGCTGCCAGAACTTGTCTTTCCTTGATTTTTGAAATATTAAAGGCCCTTCTCCAAGTAAATCAATTCATGTAACAATACCCAGGTTATGAGATAGATTATTACTGAGACCACAGAACCATTGTGTCCCCCATCATCACTATCCTTCCTATAGGTAATACTAGCCTCATTAACACTACTGGTTAATTTTTTTTGTCTGTTTTAAGCTGTGTAACACTGGAATGCTATCATATTTGTTATTTGATGGCTTGTCTTGCTCAATAGCATTTCTTTTTTTTTTTTTTTTTGAGTTGGAGTCTCACTCTCACCTAGACTGGAGTGCAGTGGCACGCTCCCAGCCACCGCAGCCTCAACCTGCTGGGCTCTGGCGATCCTTCCTCCTCAGCCTTCAGTAGCTGGAACTACAGGCGCGTGCTACCATGCCCGGCTAATTTTTTTTTATTTATTGTAAAGATGAGGTCTTGCTGAGTTGCCCGGGTGGGTCTCGAACCTGCAGGCTCAGGCAATCCACTCACTTCGGTCTCCCAAAGTGCTGGGATTACAGACTGAGCCACTGAGCCCAGCCACTCAGTAGCATTTCAAGATTCATTCACTTTTATTGTTGTATAGTATTCCACTTTTGTGAACATACTATCTTTATGTCATCTATTATTTATGTATGTTAAAGTTTATTCCAATTTTTTATTATTGAAAAAAGTACACCTTAATGTAATATGTCTATTATACATGTATCATATATGGAATCTTTATTTTAAAAGGTCAAGGCCAGGCACAGTTGCTCATGCTTGTAATCCCAGCACTTTGGAAGGCTGGAAGGAGAGGATTGCTCAAGCCCAGGAGTTCAAGACCAGTCTAGGCAACATTGTAAGACCTCGTCTCTACAAAAAAAAATTTAAAAATTAGCTATGTGTGGTGGTACACACTTATAGTCCCAGCTACTTGGGAGGCTGAGGTGGAAGCACCTGAGCCAAGGAAGTTGAGGCTGCAGTGAGCTGTGATCATGCCACTGCACTGCAGTCTGGGTGACAGAGTGAGACTCCTACTTAAAAAAAAAAGAAAGTCAACTATACAGAGAGAGAATAAAACAGTGGTTACCAGGGACAGGGAAGAGAGGGACGGTTGGGGGAGAGGAAATGGGAAGATGCAGTTTGAAGGATAAAAAGTCACAGATATGTAAGATGAGTAAGTCTAGAGATCTGATGTGCAGTGTGAGGACTATAGATAATAACGTTGTATTAGGGATTCTTGTTTAATAAGGTGACTTTTAACTACCTCTTGTGACAAAAAATGATAGCTATGTGAGTTGATGGCTATATTAATTTGCTTCATTATAGTAATCGCTTTACTATCTGTATTATCGTATAACATCATGTTGTATGCCTTAATTATGTACACTTATTTTTTAAAAATATACAGTCATGCATCACTTAATGATGGAGATATGTTCTAAGAAATGCATCGTTCGGTGATTTCATCATTGTATAAATGTCATAGAATGTATTTACACAAACCTAGATGGAACAACCTGCTACACAGCTTGGCTAGATAGTAAAGCCTGTTGCTTCTGCATAGGCCACACACCTGTATAGCATGTGACTGTACTTAATACTATTGGCAATTGCACTACAGTGGTATTTGTGTATCTAAGCACACCTAACCATAGAAAAGGAAAAATTGAGTTGCACTACAACGTTAGATGGCTATGACGTGACTAGACAATAGGAGTTGTTCAGCTCCATTATAGTGTCATGGTACTACTGTTGTCTGTGCAGGGAAACATCAATGGCACATGACTGTACATATCATAGTGGGTACTACCAAACAGTTTCAACCATTCTTTTTGATATCTGCACTAAGGTGCTAAATTACTTTATATACAGACTTTTGCATCCCACAGGATTTGAATTTTATATATTCATTATCATTTAGTTCAAAAGATTTTTTTACTTCCTTTATGATTTCTCATGAGTGTATTGCTTAATTTTCAAACACTTAGAGATTTTCTTTTATTATTGATTTCAACTTCATTACATTGTTTTTCAGTTCAAAATTTTCTATTTGAATTTTTTAAATTGTTTTCTGTTACCCAAATTCTGCACATCAATGTGTAATTTTTGAATACTTTTTTATTCTTCAGAAAGGATTTAGCTTTGCTTCTTTTAGGTAGTTAGACCAGGGGCAGATAATTTAATCCAATCATGGTTTGAGCTGACTGCATCCTGGGCTTCAATCCTTTTCTAAGAGGGGACCTATTTCCAGTTTACTGTTTTTCTTAGGGCATAGCATAACTCTTTGAAATCCCACTTGAACTCTGGGGATGTTTCACCAAGGCCCTTTCTGCTCTGTGGAGGCTGAACACAACAGGTCTCCCTTGACCTCAGTTCTGTGGGTGCCTGCAGCTGTTTGTGTTTCAGGGCTTGGTCAATGCATGCATCCAGCCTTAGTTTGTCGATTGCATGGACAAATACCTCCAAAGGAGAAACAGTATGATCTTTGGATCATGACACTGAGCTTTCCTTATTTTTTGAATCTTTGACACAAGTTCTTGCTGCCTTTGGAGGTTTCTCATGTCCACAAATAGGACACTTGTGTGTGTGTTTGTTTCCTCACTTTTCTATTTGTTCTTAGAAAAAGAATGTAGAAAAGCCTTGTCTACATTGACAGGAAGCAAAACCTCTCTCAAGTTTGGATTTCCTGGTTTAATTTTATTCATTGGTAGCATTATTCTGTGTCGTTCTATAACAGATATCCTTCCAGGGTGTCTTGGCCCATTTACTTGTCAGTCCATCCGTATTTCTCTGTTCATGGGATGGTTTGTCAAATACCTTGGTGCTATACTCTGTTCTGTGTCTGTATATTTGTGTGCTCTACTAGGTTAGATAGCATATCTTAAAAAAAGGAAATGAAGGCATTTTTGTCAAAACTTATTACTCTTAATAAACCCCAGTACTCGAGCTGTGTACCTCTCAGGAAGTTATTATTATTACTGCCTTCTGAAATTTTAATCATTTTTCAAGTTCTTATCTTGGTACAGCACCTTGCAAATGGAATAACCACAATAAGCTATTACATCTGTCCACCTGAATCCCTTATAGGATGTATGCAAACTAAAGGAGAGATTTAAAAACAAAAGCGTTTTAGGATATCTCATAAAAATAACCATTTAGGAGGAAATGAAGCCCCATCCCAATGAGGGATTGCACAGGAGATCCCAGGTGGTCACATTCCCCAGAACTGTCTCCCGATGTAGCAGAATTTATTAGAGAAAGTTCATTCTATGCCAGGTTTAATTTGCTCTTATAGATGACGGGGGACCCAAGAAACCCAGAATTTATTCATGAAAATTGTGTATTCTCACGTGTTTAAACTTTAGTCTCTTTCAAAGTACTCGCCGTTTGATGCAATCCACCTATCAAAATACTTTTTCCACTTCTGAAAACCGTTTTTGAACTCATCAATTTTGATGCCTTTTGCTTAGTGCTTCTGCCATTTTTCTTTCACTGCTTCCATTTCAGCAAAATGTTTCGCTTTGAAGACTTTTTTCATCCAGGGAAACAAACGAAAAAAAACTTTACTCAGGGAAGGATTGAGTGAATAGGAAGGGTGGGGCATAGTTTTTGGTCAAAAACTGCTGAACACGCAGTACATTGTGGGCAGGTGCACTCGTCAATCACCCATCATGAAATGGGCAAACGTGTTGAAAGAACCTAAAAAAAAATCACTGAAGCTGAACACAGCCTCTCGCAACAGTGCTAGCTGGTAGACTGATGTCAGTGAGTTCCTAGAACATTTACCTAGTGGGGAAAGCCTATACTACGAGGGACTGCCCTCCAAAAAAAACTCCAGTTTTTTTCCAGTCTCCCCTCATACATGTGTACATATATCATCACAATGTGACCGCAAAGGCGAGTCGGAGAGGTGCCCCCTTCACGAAGAGGCTTTCCTCATAAAAAGGGTGTAAGACTTTCACGAGTAACAGGAAATCAAGAAGTGGCACTGCCTTCATCTTCTTCGTTAGTGCGGAGTTGCTTATTTAACACTTCCCAGCAGTGTAAATGCCTTCTTAGAAATGCCCCCTTACCAAATTGGCCCTTGTGGTCTGAGTTGCTGTTGTGACGTTTCAAACTGTGTTACAGTTTGAACGCTTTGGCGTAGATGGTGTGTTCTTTGGTGTGTGTATCCATTTTGACCAGGAAGCACTTTCAGAATGCCCCAGGCATTCAGACGTGGATGAGTAACTGTAGTCTGTTGGATTTTGACAGGCTGGCCTGTCTTGGCTTGCCTACCCTGTTAAAATCCCTTCCACAAACTAATGCCACAGGACTCATCATTGCTTTGCTGCCTTGGAGAATCTGCCTGTATTTTAGGTCGCAGTAACAATTTTTTAAGTATAGCCAAACACTAATTTTATGCTTTATTATTTTATGCAATTGTATTAGCAGGTGTATCTCATTTGTTGTACTGAATTAGAACTACTAGGTTGAGTATTTAGGAGTCATTTGTCTAACATCTATTTTCATATTATTTTATACTATAGTCATAGGTATGTATGATCA